CTAAATCCTTCTGTCTGTTTTTCGCAGTAAAATTGTCACCATCCTATGTTTAGGAAATCAAGTGATCCCAGGCCCCTGCCACACGGCAGGGGAAAAGCCTCTTAAGGCGCGGCTTTTAAAAGCCACGCCAACGTTGAGGCGCCACGACGGGATCCCACGGATCCCCTGGCCGCGGCGCCTTTTCTCCCCGGTGCGATCAAACGCCGGGGAGAAAACACGGCCCGAACGGGAGCGGGCCGAACTGCGCATGTCCGGGCATGCGCAGTTCAGATCTGGGCCGGGGTTGAGCCGGCGCAAGGAAGCGCCGGCGATCAAACGACCCGGTTGCCGCGCTGCTTCCCTTTAAACCACCTAGATAGGTGGTTCCGTTTGCGGCGGCGTTTCCTGGGAATGGGACAGTTCGGCCACGGAAGCAAGACGCTTCCCAGATGTTGTGGTGTGATCGCGCCGAACTGTCCCGCTCCCGGACCAAATCGCCACGTGTGAATGGGACCCCAGTCTTATTATATTCAGATGATACGGTTTTGTTGTCTTGTTCCCACATTGGGTTCCTGAGGTTATTAAATAGGTTGGCCAGTTACTGCCACTCTGAAGGTTTAGAAATTAACTGCAGTAAGGTGCAAAGTATTACTATTTTATAAGAGAAGGAACCCTCCTGCATCCTGGTTGTCTATTGATGGTGTTCAAATTCAACAAATGAAAAAGTTTATGTATCTTGGTATACTTTTTTCTCACAATCTGAATTGGTCATTTCATCAAAAGGCTTTGCTAAAGAATATCAACAGTATGTAAAAAAAATTCAGGTATTGTGGGGGACGTTATGTTCCTGGGGCGATTCACGTTTTTAATATGAAAAATTATTCTTATTTTGCTTTTTGGGGTGGCTATTTGGATTCAATTGGATTCAATTTTGATCTTCCTTCAATTCATTTTCTTTGTAAATTGATTAATGTATCTAAATGTGTAGCTGGAGTGTTGCTACATGCCGAATTGGGTCAATTATCCTTGGAGGCTAGAGCTTGGCAATTGGCTTTCTGTTTCTATTTTAAAGTTGTTGTTTTTAAATATTCTGGATATTTAGCTCTGATAAAAAAGCAAATTCTTTCAAATCCTCCTGGCTTAAGATTTTTACTCAAAACTTCCTCTCATTGGTTTAATTTCTGACATGATTCAGGAATGTGGTTCTGTAGCTGAAAATTCCTTTATTAGGAAACATATCCAAGAGATGGATTATTTGAGTACATGTTTTCGTGCCTGCAGGGTTTGTTCTTCCTTATTTTTTGGAATACCCTCCACCTAGGTCACTGCCTTCTTATACCTTCCATTTGTCCATCCCAAATTTTTAAAAACTTTTTTATTGACACGGCTAAATGCACAGCCCACCCCTGTTATGAGCGGTAGATTAAAGAGGACACCTTTTTCAGAGCAGTTATGTGACTGTTCTTTAGGGAAGATTGGTACCTTGGTTCATATTTTATTGGAATGTCCCCTGTATGTGATTTCTAGGAATCAATATATAATGTACTATTTGGACAATATTTCTTTTTTACTCACTATAAGAGAACGTCATTCCTTTTATCTGATAGATCTCCTACTATTCTCCTAGTTGGCACTAATTTTTTTTGTTTGGATTTAAAACCTTGAAGACGATGTGTATCAGAGGAGGTATATGACTGCTCAAGCTAGTTGATCAAAGGAGCTTTAATCAAATGAAAGGAATCAGTCCCTCAGTCCATCAGAGTCAATGGCTCCCCAGTGTCTCATATCACTTCCTACCTGGTCCTTTTAACTGGAGATGCCAGGATTAAACCTAGGACCTTCTGCAGGACAAGGAGATGCACTGAGCCAGTGCTGTTCCCCACAGAAGAGAAGACGCTATAGCAGCCCCATGGACAGAAAATTTTGGTGGGGCAGTGGCCGGGGTGCTGGGGCAGGGGAGCGGGGGTAGCATGCATTCTCTCGCTCTTTCCTACCCCAGCCCCACCCCACCCCGCCGCACAGTGGCAGGAAGGTTGGGGAAGGAAAGGGAAGTGGCCTTGCCACTTCTAGTCAGTTTTATTCCCCTCCCATCAGCTGTTAAAACAGCTAATCGACAGGGAGTGAAACTGACCAGAAGTGGCAGGACGGCTTCGCTTTCCTTCTCTATCCTCCCAGCCACTGCAGGGGTAAGGCGCACCGGGGGTGGGGGTCTGGGGGGGATCGGCATCGTCCCAGGGTGGGCAGGGCTCATCCGTGGTGGGTCTTCACCCCCATGGCTACGGGCCTGTGCGATAGAGAGATGAAATGTCTTTCCTTTTAAGAGGAACCCTGCTGGATCAGACCAGCGGTGCATCTAGTCCAGCATCCTGTCTCACACAGTGGCCATCCAGTTCCTCTGGAGGGCCAACAACAGGGCATAGAGGCTGAGGCCTTCCCCTGATGTTGCCTCCTGGCTCTGGAATTCAGAGGCTGACTGCCTCTGAACATGGGGCTGGTAGCCACTGATAGACCTGTCCTCCGTAAATTTGTCTACTCTCCTTTTAAAGCTCTCTGTGCCTGTGGCCCTCAGTTCTCCTTCCTTCGTGGCACTCTCTGCCCTTTCTTCTCTCATCTTTCCTGCCGGAGTCTATTTCTTCAGCCAAGACAGTAGAAGCCACTGCACGCACTACATTTTTATGTCTACCTGTAATAATTGTATGTGTCTTCCTAGAAATACAAATTGAATTTGGCATTCACACATTTATAAATGTGAGCATTGGATGGCATGCTCTTTGGAGAGTGTAACAGGCTGCAGGTCCTGCTGAGCATATAGCTGGTGCCAAATTTGCGACTGCATCTGCCTAAAATGCAAAAGGACCACGAGATCTTTACACAGCTTGTTGCTCAATATAATAAACAAACTTGTTTGTTGTGAAGTGATATGAGATTTTTGCATTTTATGTATGTGGGTTAGTTTATTTAGGTTAATTTGCAAGTGGATGCTGAAAGACTGATTAAATTTAGACATGGGTCCCCCTTTAAAAAATTTGAGAACCACTGGTTTAATGGACAATACACAATCCTTCTGGTTTACTTCTGCTTGGGCCACAAGATGGCAGTATTGGCAAACAGATGAGTTGCAACTTGCATTTCAGACAAAAAAAAAGTCACAGTTTATCAGCCCAAGGAGAAACCTATGAAGAGAGAGACAGAATCTGAAGTCCGATGGAAGATACACTGAAAGATTCAAGGAATGAAAGTGATGAACATAGCATATGGAGATCAGTTTTTCCAACAACATTAATTGCCTCTGGATAATACCCAACTGCTTCATGTTTTCAAAACCATAAATATCTGACCTGGGAGAGTCTGGCACCATGGACCATAGCTTCAGGATCATGAAAGGTCTGTATCTTTTGTTCTTACTCTCTCTGTCTGGAGTTGTGTGTGTCTCAATTCGCTATTCTTTGCCGGAAGAGAAGAAAAGTGGGTCTCTGGTGGCTAATGTGCTGAAGGATTTGAAACTGGGACCAGGGGAGCTCTCTGCTCGCAGAGCCCAGCTGGTTTCCAAAAGCAATAAGCAATATTTCCAGCTAGATACCCATTCTGGGAACCTGTTTGTAAATGACAAAATAGACAGAGAAGCTTTGTGTGGCCAGACTGACCCCTGCTTACTTCTTTCTAAAATTGCACTGGACAAACCTTTAGAGATCGTCAGTATAGAACTGAAGATAGAAGATGTGAACGATAACTCCCCTAAGTTTTCTAAAACTGAATTTAATCTAGAAATCCCTGAGAATGTTCCCACAAATACCCGATTCCCCCTGGAATCAGCCCAAGATGCAGACTTGGGTGAAAACAGCATCCAGAACTACACCCTCAGTCCCAATGGGAATTTCAGGCTGGATGTACAAAGTGATGAATTTGGGAGCAAATATGTGGACCTTGTTCTGGAGAAGTCACTAGACAGGGAGGAGAAGGCTCAATTTGGGCTGACTCTCACAGCTGTTGATGGAGGGGTGCCCCAGAGAACAGGCAAAGTTCAAATAACTATTAAGGTTTTGGACAACAATGACAACTTCCCTCAGTTTATACAATCCGAATATAAAGTGAAGCTGAAGGAAAACTGCCCACGTGGTACTGTGGTGTCTAAAGTGGAAGCCAAAGATTTGGATTTTGGTTCAAATGCACAGATCTCCTATTCATTCCATCGGGTGCCTGAGAAAATAAGCAGCTTGTTCCACTTACATGAGAGCACTGGAGAAATCACTGTTTTGGGTCCAATTGACTATGAAAAAGAAACCAGCTATAATATGAACATCAAAGCCACAGATGGGGGAGGTCTTTCAGGCCACTGCAAAATCTTGGTGGAAATTGAGGATGAGAATGACAATGCCCCAGAGATATCAGTCATATCTATCTCCAGCACTGTGCAAGAAGATTCACACCTGGACACAGTGGTGGCGCTTTTCAGTGTCACCGACCAAGACTCTGGGGAGAACAGCAGAACTTCATGTTCCATAGACACAAACCTTCCCTTCGTGTTAAAGGCCACTGGGAGTAACAACTATCAGCTTGTGATCCAGAGTCCCTTGGACAGAGAGAAAGTCCCTGAGTACAACATCACCATCACAGCTACTGATCGGGGCTCTCCCAGGCTCACTACAAAAAGAACAATTACGGTTTTGATCTCAGACATCAA